GGTGGACATCTGCGGTAATGAGGGAGATAGGTTAGATTTCAGATTCAGTAAGGAAAAATCAGCAGTCATGATTTTTAACGACAACGAAGGTAGTGAGCTTAGAATACAGGACGTCACGCTAGAGATAACAGATAAATACAAATATCTGGGCATGTGAATAAGCAATGGGACCGAGTACCTGAGGGAACACGAAATATACGTGACGACTAAAGGTAACATGAATGCAGCAGTGATGAAAAATAGGGCACTGTGGAATTACAATAGGTATGATGTTGTGAGAGGAATATGGAAAGGGGTCATGGTTCCTGGCCTGACGTTCGGCAATGCGGTCTTGTGCATAAGATCAGAAGTTCAAGCAAGACTAGAAATTAAGCAACGTGGAATAGGTAGGCTTGCTTTAGGAGCTCATGGGAATACACCAAATCAGGGAGTACAAGGTGATATGGGCTGGACATCATTTGAGGGCAGGGAAGGTAGGAGCAAGATCAAATTTGAGAAGCGATTGAGAGAAATGGGGGAAGAGCGTTGGGCAAGGAAGGTTTTCAGCTACTTGTACATGAAGAATGTCGATACAAAATGGAGGAAGCAAACCACAAAATTGACTGGTAAATACTTAGAAAACAGCAGGGGGCCAAACCAAAAAGAATTATCGGTTAGAAAGAAGGTGAAGGAAGCTGATACCTACATGTGAAGAATTGGCATGATTAAGAAGTCCGCACTAGAGATCTATCGAACTTTTAAGCAGGAAATTGCCAAGGAAAGGATCTATGATAATACTCGGAGTAGTTCTCTACTGTTTGAGGCCAGGACAGGAGTATTGCGAACCAAAACATATGGGGCCAAATACGAAGGGGTAGACACGGTATGCACTGCGTATGGAGAGGAAGAAGAAACTGCCGAACACTTGATAATGTTCTGTACAGGGATTCACCCTATAGTTCAGGATGATGGCGCAGAGTTCTTCAAAGCACTGGGGTTTAGGGACAGGGAGGGCAAAATAGACTTTAAGCGGGTAGAATTAACTAGAAGAAGGTTATCTGATTGGCGGCTAAAGTCAAGGCACGAGTAAAATTAAACTCTTCACTGCAAAGTACCAGTCCCCAACTTCACTATTTAAAGGGAAAAAAAGATAAATCTAGTGGTTAGTTCACTAAGTATTACGGCTAGGTAGCGCTAGCCGCCGCCCAATCTAAAGGGTACAACCACATCCATCTATTCATACGGAATGCTGGCGCTGAACGGCCAGCATTCCGTGAAGCTTCTTGACAGCTTTCACGGATGCAAGGAAGATGAAAAGTAACACGAACATAGCAGCACGCCGTTTTCACCTGGCTCTGTAAGGCCGTGCTACCGGTTCAAAATATGCGTTCTAGTTTTATAACATTCTCGTTTTATTTTTCTTTCAAGCTAATGCAACCTCATTATTTGCATGCCTCAGTATATAATACTGCACTGTACCACTCTGGATATCTGAAGGGGAAAAAATCTGATTGTCTTTTTTTTCATTTCTCATTCGTTACAAAAAAAACTCGCCACTCCCTTCGTGAATTCGCGTGAGACGACTGAAAGGTAGGTAGGTAGGTAGGTAGGTAGGTAGGTAGGTAGGTAGGTAGGTAGGTAGGTAGGTAGGTAGGTAGGTAGGTAGGTAGGTAGGTAGGTAGGTAGGTAGGTAGGTAGGTAGGTAGGTAGGTAGGTAGGTAGGTAGGTAGGTAGGTAGGTAGGTAGGTAGGTAGGTAGGTAGGTAGGTAGGTAGGTAGGTAGGTAGGTAGGTAGGTAGGTAGGTAGGTAGGTAGGTAGGTAGGTAGGTAGGTAGGTAGGTAGGTAGGTAGGTAGGTAGGTAGGTAGGTAGGTAGGTAGGTAGGTAGGTAGGTAGGTAGGTAGGTAGGTAGGTAGGTAGGTAGGTAGGTAGGTAGGTAGGTAGGTAGGTAGGTAGGTAGGTAGGTAGGTAGGTAGGTAGGTAGGTAGGTAGGTAGGTAGGTAGTAGGTAGGTAGGTAGGTAGGTAGGTAGGTAGGTAGGTAGGTAGGTAGGTAGGTAGGTAGGTAGGTAGGTAGGTAGGTAGGTAGGTAGGTAGGCAGGCAGGCAGACAGACAGACAGACAGACAGACAGACAGACAGACAGACAGACAGACAGACAGACAGACAGACAGACAGACAGATAGATAGATAGATAGATAGATAGATAGATAGATAGATACAACTGCGTCCATGTGGCCAGCGGTAGGCACGGCATGACGCATGTGTTATCCACAACAGTACAAGCCAAGTACCATACGGGTATTGCACATTTCATTTGCTTCGCTGTTCAATTAATGCGGCATTTTCATTAAACGCGGCTTATAGGTCGATACACTGCGTGCTGTAGAGATGAGAAACAAGGGTTGGTGGTGGTGGAAAAACTTGATAAACTTAACTAACGCAAATGGTTGCCACCGGTTCGGATAGCGATCATTCGTTGTGCACTTCACTTGATGAAGGCAGATGACAACATAATTCGCAGTTTTCTTTGCGCGCGGTCAGCGTTGACGTCACTGTGCGTGTTCGGGTGACGTCATTAACGGTTTTAAACAGCATCTATCTATCTATCTATCTATCTATCTATATCTATATCTATATCTATATCTATCTATCTATCTATCAATCTACGTGTGGAAGCTGTTGTGTTCGTCTCTTAACCTGACACAAACGGGCACAGGAGGACGTGAGTGTATGCCGAATATGATTATGAGGTCATGGCATAAATAGAGTGAATAACTGACGCGCGTGCCTCACGAAACCCTTTCCCTCAGTCACTTGTGGCCCATACCGGCTTACCGCGGCCCTTGGAATACGGGTATGCACCAGGCGTAATTCTCAGTCAACATCGACAGGAACAGTAAGAAGAGATCGATTTTAGAAATCGCAACGCAATCGCGTCAAGGAGCCCGTGTCGCTGAAGATGTGGTGCGTGCGTAGGGAGCGTCGTCGGTAGGCGAAAAATCGCGTGGTCGTGAAGAACCAAGACCATGGATCAATCTGGATTTAAACCCATACATTCCGCGTGGCAGTCAAGTACTGTATGCCCGTATAGCCTCGCCAATTATTGGAACTGCTTCGCGGAAAGGATTGGGTAAAAGCATCATGATGTGGATATGTAAATGTTGGCCATATGCACTTCCATAACAAAGTAATAAAGAATACACATGTACAGTTATGACTGCGCGAACTATAGTCGATCATTTCCCAAGTGTATACGCCGACAACCACTACACACGATATCCACATCATAACACCACAACAAGCACTGCAGTTTTGATAGAACTGGCGTCTATGTCCTGACGTGGGCGCTGGTGTTGCCCCGGAATGTAGGCTGCCCTTTGGGCGTCAGTGCAGTTGATGCATTTTGTCGACCCACGATATAACCACAACTAATCAAAGTGTGAAGATGCGTTGATCCACTTCGCTACAATGGATTCAAATTAAAAAAAGGGACGGCGAACACTGCCACTTGCTTCCTGTTTCGCATGACATCGACGCCCACGGTACTTGGGATATGCCGTAATTTTCCACGCCACTCTTGTTTCAACGCTGAGGGTGAATTTCCACGTTTGATGAGGCATCCCTGAAAAGCTAGTTTCACCGCAATGGCGCAGCGGCAAATGTGATAGCAAACAAAAAAAAAAATCGCAGCATATCCACATAGTGAATAATGATGAGTGGGGCAAAGCGTCCATCCGTCCGTCTGTTTGTGTCTTTCTGTCCGTTAGTCCGCCCGACTGTCTGTCTCTATTTGTAGATATGCCGTGCTGGCTACGCCGGAGAGATGGACCGCCCTAGACCATAGGGAGCTTCGTTCGCCCCTAAAGACTGGGACGTTCCACGGTGCGAGCCCATCTTCAAGGCCTGGCTTTTTGACGGGCGCCGCACCCTACGGTGAGTGAGATCGCGCGGCTACGCGAAGCTGCGAGCCCCCTCTCTTGATAAGGAGAGGGCGCCACGTGCAAAATGCACCGCGCTGAGGCGCTGCAACGCGCACGTGTGGTCAGGCCAATCCTACCCGGCGCTGTTCAAAGAAACAGGTGACGTGCGGCAACGCGCCGAGCGATCGAAGCGACTGCCGTGCTATATCTTTCGCTTCAACGAGAATGCACCAGAACACAAAGCGTAGTATCGACGTCAAATGAAACACGAACATCGCTAAGCATTAAAGAGGGCATATGTACGTGCCATCTTGCGGTCACCATAGACACGCGCGCAGCGCTCCAGTTTGGCAGCACTGCACATGTCCATGGTGATGACTGAACGGCGTGCACTATAGCCTTTCTAAAGCTAGACAACGTTCGCGCTTTGTTTAATGCTGATAGTAGAATGAGCCGCCAGCCGATGCCTGTGCGCGCGCGACAATACCCGCCCGGTCAAAGTGGTACGAGGTCGCAGCGAGACCTCGTCAGGGCAAAGTGGGATCACGTGATTCAACTTATATCATCTTCGGGAATCGTGTCCTGGAGCAGTCGCGGCACGCAACGAATGCTGTGATGGCACAACGTCGCTCCCCCGATTTTTTCGGAGCACCTCGGAGCAACAAAAAAAAAGTGCCCCGACAGGGCGCGCCCTGATTACCGAAAACGCTTGGTGCGCACATGTGCGCTTTCCCGAAAATGCATTAGGAAGCCACAAATATTACAGCGCCCACGTATCGAATGCTGGGCCTCACGTAAAACGACGTTCCCATTGTCGCGCGCAGTATGCAAAGTATGAGCTGTATATCACCTAGTCATAACGTGCAAGTGATACTACATGCAGGACCAAACGAATACGATAGCTATAAGCCGTTCCTGCGCTACTGTATCTTTTTTTTAAAACATACATTACGTAACAGATTCTGTCGCAGGGTGATTCGTCACTGACCTGTCAGTAAAACCAGGGAACATATCTTTTTTTTTTCTAAAAACGAACGATATAAATAGCGGGAATAAAACGAAGCAGTCCCGCTCTACTCCGTCTCAGACCACCGAGAACTGCAGCCATGGAAACAACTCGCGAATATGTTGGTAACACCGCCAGCCAGCTGACCATCGCCGCCTTCGTGGGCAGCTTGTCCATCTCCTGGCGCATATGGCGCGCCGGGAGCTCGTCTGGCGTCAGGTTCTTGCCTCTCATTTCGATCATCATCTGCACGCTCATCTGGCTGCGCTACAGCTGGATCACCGGTGACACCAGAGTGACGCTCGCCAGTGCCTGCGGCCTGATCTTGATGACCGTCAACGCGACGGTGCACCGCGCCTTCGCTCCACACCCTGGTCCCGTGATGCCACTGGTGGCGGCGCTTCTGCTGACGTACATGGCGTGCACCATTATGCGTGCGAAGGAGCTGGGTCAGCTGGCGTTCATTTTGTCCGTGGCTTACCACCTGGCTCCGATTGCCACCATGCCGATCCTCACGCGGACGGAGATCTGCCTGGGGAAAATCACCATTTTCGGACTTTGGACGCTGTACGCGGGGCTTGCCGGGGATCAGCCACTGTACGCGAGCTGCTTGATCGGCTTCGTCTCCGGCATCGCCGAAGTCGCTTTCACTTCCCAAATGCTGCTGCCCCACTCTTTTCGCCGGGAAGGGCAGTAGAAGATATAACCCCTCGTGCCCATCATGCCTGCACATGTGGCCCTTGCTTCTACTCTCTGTTCCGCGTTTTCGCCAAGAGCTGCCTGCTTATGTACCGTATATGTCATGACCTCCTGTGTACAGTTCAGTGCACGTACGCAACTTTTTAACACTTCTAGACGACCAGTATGTATCCGTGACCATATTTTTAGTGCAACTAAATATCTTCGTACGTTTTAAAGTGTCTCGTTCTACTTTTAGTCCGTTTCTGCAATTCCAGATTGACGCACAAGTGACAAACTACATCGCAGTGTCAAGCCACTCGTACAACGACCGTACGAGTTCGTACAACGACCGTCATATGTGGAGATCATTTCATGGAACCCTGTGCCTCTCGACACTAAAGCACATGAGCAATTTTATTTGAAAATCCGCCGCTTTCACTATTTTTCTGGTGGTAAAGGTCCCATGTACTTAAATACACGTTCCAATAAAAAAAACACTTGATTCTACCAATTGTGCAGAACTTCAGAGCCGTCACGAGCACTCGAATACCTCGAAGGCCGGCGAAAAAAAAAACATCGGGAAGATCTGGAGCATGATTCGCTCACGACAAAAATTACTCTCCACATATTTAGGCCGAAAACAGCCAGCCTAGACGCATTGTGACACGTATAGTAGCTCTCGCAACAAACTTCTTGGCTTTCGCTCTACTCCCGAAATCGGACTGATGTGACCGAAAACGTCGAAACAGCGTGTCAAGGAATCGTTTAGAACCTTCCAAAAAGGCGAAGGTCTCGTGGGATCCACAATTGTGCGAGATAAAGTTGCGAGCTCACGCAGTGACGTATAATACAGGCGCCGTGGGTTCACGAAACGCGAGAGCAGCGCAAAAACACGCAGCCTAGCGAGCAGAAGACGCCAACTGCGCCTGCATTTTTCGCGATGCCACTGCGCATGTACCTCTCCGTCGCGAAGCGCCTTTGCACAGCGCTGGCTTTTCATAGCAGGAAGTGTGGATGCGATCCCGTGTATTCACAGTGTATTTGCGATAGGAAGACGCCTGGCGCAAAAAACGTGTGAGATAAACTGAAGCGGCGAAGATCACGTGCGTTAGTTCACCTTGAATAGATATATCTGAAAAAAAAAACTTTTTTTAAGCAAGGCCCAGAGAGTGACTCGACGGTTATGGCATTCATGAAGAACCCCTTATTCTTGTGAACGACAAAAATCCGGTATCGTTTTGTTTTCACTACATATCTTGCTTGCATGCACCTTGGCTTTTTACAACGGTTTTTCCTGTAAAACGCTTTCATCGCTGTTGAATACAGTTTCTATTGTAAAAGTAATGCACATTTTCCACAAAAAAAAAAGATTTATTGATGGGACCAGCACAAATTCTTAAAATAGACTTGCGGACACGTGTGTTTCACGTCTGAAAGACACACTGAAAATCATCAACAGTCATCAGCTGTCTCTCAGAAACGTTTTGACATATCTGTTTTTGTGTTGATACGCTCTCTCACATGCTTCCTTACAGATCTCGCTTCAGTCGGAGAAACATAATAAAATAAGATCGCACGGAGCAAAGCATGCATTATAAGGAGACTGTGGGACCACCGTGGTGTTGCTAAGGGTAAGGAAGTTGGTAACGAAGAAGGGCAGAGGGAATGACCGTGGCAGAGTTCGACCGTGTGCTTAATGTCAAACCGTTCACGCAAGACCCGGCGTATAAACATACTGAGCACAACCAGTAAAAGGCAGTGTTGACAGCGTTCTCCTTGCAGTACAAAGTTACTTTCCTTGATGTTCAGTGAACGAATGAAACGCAAGGCTTCGCACACACGATCCACGTCTTCGTTGTTTCTGGTCGTCGTTGTTGAGCGTTCAGAACGGGTCTCAGCGGCGACCACCACCCGGCCCTCCTGAACACCACGCGCCACGTCACGAAATGTGCCTTGAAATGCAGTAATCCGTGAAGGTCTCTTGAGGCATCTGAAAGTTTCAGTTTCACTCTTTACATGCTCCACACAAATTTTGATAGCGTATCGTTGTTGATGCGAAGGCTTCCATCACGTCCTTCGGATCGGTAGCCGAGCCCTATGATCACTAGACCACCGTGGCGGCTGAGGCCCGACGTTCAAGTGTGGGCAGGGATTCTGCAGGAACACTTTGCGCAGAAGTAGAACAGAAGAAAGTGCACACGACAGGCCATACGCTCTTGGCCATCTTGTCTGCGAAACGCCCTTTATTCTGAAACACTTATGTGCTCCCATACCCATCAATTCGGAACATCGCTTTTAGTTCACCGTTTTTCACAACACGTGGAGTACAGACCTTCAAGCTGTATATCACAATGTACATCACATCTGCAGACTTTTGCTCAGGTTTTGCCATGATCAACGTCCACTTTCTCATCAATTTACAGACAGGCGATTCTTTACCCCTGTAATGCTGCTTTCCTGCACTATCGATTCGGGAAATATCTTCAGGAAAAAAAAATCCACCCTGAGTAATCCCACAAAAATGTCCTACCGTACATGCCACTAGAGTGTAATTAGCGAATAACTTATCGTTGCGCTACAATTAGCTTTTCAAAAATCACCCCATGCATTTTCAATGGATACACAAACGTGTCTCGGGGGGACGCAGCCAGACAATTAAAACTAATCGCGTAGTGCAGCATAAGGCCGTTGTCAGCATTAGGTACCTGAAGTGCAATTAGCGAAAAATCAGGCATTGCTCAGTAATAATTTTTTGAAGAACGCTCCCCATAGCGTTACGCCCAGCACTTCCTCCTTGGGGTAGGCTTTGCCGCATAAGTAGATGTCCCAGATTGCTGGAAATACTTACACAAGATGCCGAACTGGCCCAGCAACTCACTCTTTTGACGGCATAAGGCGACTACCTCCAGAGGGCCCTTCCTCCACCGTTTGCCCCATTGCCTCCTTCTTTTTAAATAGGGAGAATTTTTTTTTTCATTCATTCATTATCGGTAGAACATTACGACATATCGCGGGCAATATGTAAAATATAGTTTGCGGCGCTGACGCGTTCAGTGGCGCTTGCATGAGTCTAACTACGCTGGAAGGTCGAAGTAAATGAAACAGTCGTTTTCTCGGTTTGCACCTATAGCCCTACAAACCACATGTCCGAAAACTCACTTATCCGTCAACTCATTCACGCTTATTAGGAAACGCGCCGACCAATGAGTACGATCCGAAATGCTCACCGGCTGACTGCTTTACTCGTCACTTACAGTGAGCAGGCGCAAGCATCAAATATAAAAACGTGCTTGTGACAAAGAAACTCCATTATCCAGTCGACCTTACCTTTATTATTATGCTCTATTTTCAGCGGCGATAAAGCAGTTTCAAACGGGAGCCACTCAGTGTCTAAACTGCACTCGAGGCATCCGTTCTGGCCGCCAGCGCAACTGAAGCGGGTAATTGCGTGACTGCAATATATTCGAGCAGCCTCCCACTTGACGTTGTCAGCGCCAAGTCAGCGCCAGAAGATTTATTATACGCGGCCGCTACCAGCGCTTCGTTCGTTTTTGGAACAAGGCCAAAAAAAGAATGCCCAAGAGGCGGTTCACACGCCAGCCGCCGTTTCCTGTTTTTTTTTTTTTCCCTTTAGATTCGAGTAAGCCTTGCTGCGTTCTTAAAGTTCGTTTGCGATCTCGCTTCACTAAAGTAAAGTGCGTCTCTTGTCATATTATGAGATTATTCACGTGACTACAGAAAGTAATCTGTTCGAAAGCGGCCTATTCGCCTCCGTCAAAATGCGAACACCCAAACGGGATCAAGCTCGTGTCCTTCAGGTAAGCAGCCCTTCGCCGTGACCACTACACCCCCGCCGCGGACCCACACTTGCACATTGCAGATTCCATGCTTTCTGGTTTCTACTATCTTCCGCGTTAGTGGGCGGCGGCGGCGTCCCACCATCCCGTCTGTCGTATCCTGCCTTCTGTGCACGTCTTTCAGCACTGCAGCTATACATCGACGCGAAAAAGAATCCGACCATAGAATCGCACATCATAAGCTATAGAACAGTTGCGCGCTACCACGCACCCGATGAGACGGGCAATTAGGCGTAACATTTGAAGATACAAGATTAGCCGACACACTGCATGTATACACAAACGCACCCAAGAGAAAGAAGTGGATCTCACGATGCGAAGCGCTCATAATCGGGGTTCGGTTAGAACGACACAATATATACCTGTACGAAGACGCAACAACTGCTGCCGAGAATGTCGAAGTGTTTGACGGGGTGATGAAATCAAGAAGTTTGCCGGCAGGAAGTGGGATGACTTCGCATATGGCAAGGCAAACTTAATATCATTGCGATAGTCACGCGTATTGCATTGAAAATGAAATAGGTTTGTGGTAATTATGATGCTAATGATAATACTACAGGGTTGCCACTCGAAGGATCCAAGCTCGGACACCAGCTTATCCAAGACTTTTTTTTCGAGAGAGGGATATTAGTTACAGACTCCCGCGGCGGCGGACAACATACGAAGCCAAATACGGCCCTTGTTGTGATCTCATAACAGCTTTCGCTCTAATAAGCTCCTCCAACAGCTGTCCTCCATTCATCCAGAAAGAAATCTGCACAGACGCCCATTCAAATGGCATCTCCTCGTTTGCGTGACATCAGACACATCTCGCCTATTCCTCCTTCCTATCCACATTCGTGTTCGTGCCGCTCGTTTTCCGTTAGGACTTGAACATCCTGCGCAATTTGTACAACGATTCCGACATCAGTGCTAAGCGAAAAGAAATATTGGGACGACGAGCTTTTACTTCTTACCATGCGTAGAAATCACTTTACCAGATAAAAAGCACATAAGGTTAAAATGGAAACCCCCTATGACGGCTCTCTTGAACATATTAATGCCAGGCACGCCACTGAGCCTCGTATTTATTCTTAGGTTGCTACCGACTGCTGCTCCCGGTTGATTGTCAGTCCCTTGTTGTAGACAGGCACATCAGAGCGATACCGAAAAGCCAACCGATAACGTGGCACGCCAGGTACAGCGCTCGCGAGCAAGCTGCACGTCGTTCCACGTCTGCAAGCATTCGTAATCGTGCTACCAGAACCAGCGCGCCCGAAACAGTTTTAGCACCGACTTCCCTGGCCGGAATCGGGACATATCAACTGCTGCTGCCAAGCGGGAGGGAAAACCGCGATGTCCTTTGACCCGACAAGCAGCGGACCCCATGGTCTTCCCTG